AGTGTCCGAGACTATCGACAGTCTCTCAAGGCACGCAAACCCTCCCAGACGTTATTTGACGAGAGAACTCCGTAATGGATTTAGGCACTTGACGTTAATTAGCCCAGACCACAGCACAGAGCTGATGGGCTCATATGATACATCTCAGCACCTGTTCAGGAATATTAAATGTTGAACATCCTGGAGTGAAGGGGAGGGTGTGTATCCAAGTTGACAAACACTGACATCATAACCGTATTGACATTGCCGAGTCTAGGCATAATGAGGCAACAGAAAGGATCTTGGACTACTTCTGACAGCCATATCTTTAATACTTATTGGAATATGAGATGACAGCAAGCTGGATGGAGGGGAGCATTCTTTATCCACTTGGGATGCACTGTACACATAATTTAAATAAATCTCTCTTTTATCTGATAGAGGGAGAATATTTTTACAATCCCCATCTCTCGTAATAAAATCGATAATTTGTCTCTACCCCCAGAACAGAAAATTAGGTCGAGAGCTAGCCTGTCACTCTCTGGCTGGGTATGTAATACAAATACTTTAAACAGAAAAATTGGTTTCACTTCATTTCAATTGGGGTTTTATAAATACTTTTAAAAAAAAGGGTTGAATAGCTCCAGCAATCTGGCTGAATGTACCTGCTCTGAGAAGCAGTTTATTGATTGACAGGTCTAGAGCATCAGTTCAGAGAGGCAGTAGAAAAGAAATGGCTTGCTGGCAGGAGAGAAAGGTTCCATAATTGCATAACAATGATAAGACAGTTGAAAACGGACTCAAAATAGCACAGTAATGATATTGCCTGTGATGGCAGTATGCGAAGATAACCAGAGAACGCTAGAAATTACCAGGCAACTGCCGCTGTACCTGCAGCTACAACTCTCTCAAAATAACAATGTTCTGGGGCCTGTCTTGCTAAGATTCTGTTCTGGACAGCAAATTGGTTTTTGCACAACACAGTTGGTAACCCTGAGGGGATTATTCTGAAGCGGTAAGGGATGCATCCTGTATAGCAAGCAAGACGACTTCATCCAATTGCCATTGATCAACGGGCAAGATGGCTAAGATATGTGTGTGTGTTTTATCTCTCGTCTTTTCCCCGTGGAAACATTTTGATTGGAGATGCAGGAACAGGACACCCTAGAGAAATGTCTACATGGAGCCCTGGCTTGATTGCCGACTCTCATTTAGTAGACGATTGATAGGGACGGGATCTGATGAATAAAGAAATGATTCTCACACAAAATGAGTACAAACCTCCAGCTTTGTAAGCATGCCATTGACAGCACATTACAATGCATCAAAGTCACACAACATAAAGAATGGTACACCACGTGTCTAAATTATTTTCCCAACCATGACAGAAAAAAACCTTTGAAAAGATCAGCTCTATATGTTCGCATCTCACTGAGCATTGATTATTATTTATTCTCTAGTTCCTTCACTGTACCTTTCTACTGATTCTTTCTACAGTGAATTTCCAATATTTAAAGGGGAATCTTTTCAGAACCAAGATGGAATCAAATGAGAAAGGAATCTGCATAGTTCTTACCAAAATACATTTTGTTCCAGCCCAAGATTTTATATGCGTGTCTAAGACACATATATAAAATATATTAGTTGTAAGAGATGTCCAAATTGTGAAGCCACAAGAGACTTTCAGTAGATGGTTCTGACATTTTCAAGAAATATAAATCGAATAAGGACTCTTCTAAGCTAACCAAACCACATTAACAGGATATCCTTAAGAGACACTTCTGCTTTTCGGAGAAGGAAATAAGGCATAAGGGAATAAACCAAGACCAACAAACAAAAACAGAAGAATTATTGCGTACAACTGAAATCCTAGAAAAACAAATCTCAGGTTACGCTAGAACTTAAGAACACTTGACTTCACTGGGACATATGTATGTATTCTCTGAGAAATGAAGATAGGATAGTAGTGCTTTGTTGTTGGAGTTGGCTATGTGTCCAGCCTTCATCCCCCTAGTGATTCTCTGCAGTCTCAGGTAATAAGCAACCGATATTTCCTGGCGTTCAGTGACCTGAGAGGCCAAGACAGGGATAATACCTACATGTACACTACCTGCAAGGTGCAGAGCAGGAAATGAGTGTTATTAAATACCCTTTTTTACACAGAAATGGTTACCCTTTAAAAATGTTTAGCTTTAGTTTAGAGTTCTTGATTTTTTCTAGAAGTGTGCCCCCCTGTTTATTTTTTTTGTTTAAGCCCCCCCCCGCTTCCCCCATATAATGTAGCCACATGGTCAACTTCACATGTATTGTTCCTCCTAAACTGGAGTGTGGTTTTCTGCTTGAGCCCGAGTCTGCTAGAAGTCAGTGGTGCGTTGCTAACCTTATCTTATTAATGTATAAAGTAAATTTTTCCTGCAATATTATCCAGTTTCTAAACTTTTGCCAAGGTTTGTCCATTTTCTTTCTGAGCATTAGTTTTCCGAATCACTGAAGTTTTCCTAATTTTGTCTAGCTTTTATGCCTAGAAAACACTTACATTGTAACCTTACAAATACATGTGTACAGGTATCATCTTTTAGATCTCTTCTTCTTAGATTTTCTCAAATTCTCTTACTTTTCTTACTCTTTTTAGTCTAAGTATATTGGTGATGTAAAAGTATTACCATCCACTTGCCTCAGAACATGCCTGTCTTTGTCTTCTCTCCCTTAGTAGATTGTTTATTTGGACTTGCCAGGGGATTTGAATACTTAATGAGCCCCAGAGGCCTGTGCACAACTTAAGTTTTATGATGTTACTCATTGCCAGTACATGAACTATGTAGTCCATGCAGGAGAGATTTTGGTTGGTTTTTGTTTTTTCATATCAGTATGTTCTTTCCTTCTTGTTTTTTACAGATTGAAGTCTGAGTGTAAACTCATAAGGTCCGTCTGGTTTTTTTTATCCTTTTTTGGTCTTTTGACGTAAGGTATTTTTAAAGTCCTTTAGTCCTTTTAGTTTTTGCATTTTTTGAGTACTTTTTCATTAACCCTAACCCCCCTAGGGTATATGTAAAATTGTATTGAAATTGGAGGATTTGGGACTGTTAGGGTTAAAAAATTCTTTTATGTCCTTTTTAAATCAACTATTGGTGTCTGAGTCCCTATTGATTCAGTTTCCTGCGACTTTTCCCTCAAAAATCCTTGGTTTAGTTAGAGTTTTTGTTGTTTTGCGAGTTCCCCATAGTGTGCCATTTTCCCTGTTACACCAACTGATAACAATGCAGTGAGCAAAAATTGCCAGAATTTTAAACACCGCTGATAAAGAAAAAGCTGACTGGCGTATATGGCATAGGAATGAGATAATTATCAGATACAGACGTGGCAAATTCATCACTCATTTGCTGACGTCATTATTACATAAAGTGGTTTCCTCTGTCATGTTTTGACAACTTCTCTTTGTTCCATGAATTACACATAATAATAAGCACAATGATGAACAGGTAAATTTCTATTTTTGCATGGAAGGGCTCAGTTTGGGAAATCTATAATTACATGTACATAATTCCTGATATTTTCACAAGAGGATCACACAGAGAAAACCTAAATTGTTTTCAAAATCAAACACTGTTTTGGAGAGAATTTCCTAAATTGAAAACCTTTTAAATTCAGTTTTCACTATTTTAAATGTCAATATCCATTGGGTGTTGAAAGGCAAAACAATTTTATTTTTCACACGACAAAAATGTAAAATAAGTATATTCATCAACAAAATGCTCACACTTGAGAATGACAGATAATTAAACAGACTTTAAGAGGAAACATAAACAAATTACGGTAATTATAAATAAAACTTTAAATACAAAAACTGAACTTGACCAGGGAGATTTGGCCGTCAAAATATACAGGTATTTCAGCAGGAGGAATATTCTGTCATAATTTCAATATTTTATTTTTTTTAATTACATTTCATTTCACTTAAATCTACTTAAATGTTATATTATGACAAGGATTTTATCAAGGCATTAATCTGTAGTTTCAACGTGAGCTCTGTTTTATATTTAGGAGCCCAAGGGGGTACATGAAGAAATGGCTGTTTCTGACGTCTGTCATTACCATTATGGAACACATGGAAGATGCTTGAGTAAGAATTCCCCAAGCTTGGCTTGATGATGGTGTAATGCATCGTGTCTGAGAATCGCATCCAGAGATAGATGTAGCATCTCTGGGATGCTCCACTGATCTGGTTTATGGAATTCCTGCTAATGCCTGAGCTTAACTGGCTGTCTGAGTGATAGACTACGTCGGTATGCTCCCTAGTTACTCTTGTCTATGTCTTTATACCCGTCTCATCACTCCTAGGCAGACCAATCTAAACAGGGCATCTTACAAGCCTACTGGGGTCTGGAGGTCCCCAAATGCATGCACTCTGTGCCTCGGCTTTTTCTGCTCCTTTACACAATTTTGGCATTTTGACTTGCGCCGTGCTGTCCCCCATAAATGTCAGGTTTAGAACTGGGTTCTCAACTGCTTCTGATGTGACAAATGGACCCTGGAATTTGAAGGCTGACGTCAAAAATCCAGGTTCCTGCTCCGGGTCTCTCCCAGGAGAATAGAGGTTGGATGCCGAGCTCTTTTCATGCTGACGTACAAATAGACTCAGGGCTTTACAGCCACACAGAGTCAGTAGATAGCTTTATTGTCTGTTGACACTCATTCTCTTCAAGATATTGTTTTTTCCAAATCCTAAGAAAGTCGAACATCTTCTGATAATCAGCCTTTATACAAAAAGCCCTATTACCCAAATCTTTATTTTAAAGGCTATGTGCAGAAGATGGTGAGGTTATGATGGTGGGGATGACTGTTGATTGATGTTGATTGTGCTGTAATACCATGTCTCTGATACCAAGCTTTACTTTTACGATATTATCTATGATCCTTCCATCAGAAACTTTATGGAGACATGTTCTATTTCTCTGTTTACCTGTATCTACCTGTGCAATACAAAACCCTGACAACTTCCTTCTCTTCTTTTATAATCCTACCTTTGGGTACAATGATTGGTCCGAGATGCATGTTTTGCAACCTCTGGTGAGCAACCTTCTGAAGCTGTCGCCTCTCCAGCTCCGATAACTGCATCAATGCTGTCGTCGTCAAGGTTACCGTCCGACCGCTCACGCTGTGCCATCTGCAGTTCCCCTGTTGGCGACAAAACACAATCTGTTGAATATGTCTACTGGGAAATCTTTAGACATAACTTTGGAAGGGATTGACTGGTACTGAAGCATAGTTTCCTGTCGAAGGTGTCAGATGAGATGAAGTCTCTCTAGGCTGTGTTCGCACTTTATGATCAGTGATTTTAGGTGTCTTGAAAAAGTCCTGTTTATGTGAGATACATGTAAGTGGAATCCGAACTTGACACCAATGATTCACCCTCATATCTGATAAAACAGTACACTTGTAACATTGATTGGTTTAGCATTTTATTTGACTATTTGATGTTTTGGTTGAATTAAAAAAGGAATTCCGTCAAAAATATTTGATTTGATTTGATAGAAAAAGTGGGCGCCATTATTAAACCATGAACACCTATACAGTAAGCGTGTACATGTATGTGCAAGTTTAGACGTATTGGCCCGATGACAATTTATGTTTTAACACTACAAGTATTAAGATACAGTACATGTACGTGTGAGCAATGTAAACTTTTATAAATTGCATGGTCTCAATCTCAAAGGCCCCATTTCAAAATGGCATATACAACAATTACATCTGTTTTACAAAACTGACTTTACAAGGACAATAAACAGTGTCAGAGCTTGAGTAAAGGTACAAGGTATAAAATCCAGCAATGCATTTTATTTTTTGAGTGAACGTTTGACACTTCTCCCAATGAACAAAATTTGATTTCTTCTCAGAGCTACAAGTGGAAAAATCAGCCCCCCCTGCACTGGATGACTACTATACAGTGGTTGGTCATGATGGACCCTCATATTCCCAACCAATTTGTCCTGCTGATATTCTCAATGGGAGTTCTAATCTGACCAGCTTGCAGTGTTGTTGAAACAAGACAGATGCTGCTGGAAATGCCATTCAACCAGCATGTTACCTTCAATTCACCAAACTAATTAAGCCTCAAAAGACCCACAGTCAATGGCCTGAAACCCTCATCCTCCTTCATACCAGAAATGGATGGAATTTAGGTCACAAATAACCATGCCAACAGGGGAATAATAGAAGAATCTCTCAACACATTATTCTTGCTCCAGGGGTGGGCTAAATCAATGGTGCAATTTAGAAAATGCCAGGAACAGCACTTGGGAAGATCTCCTTGATTTAGACTCTAATTCATGGACCACCTACTAGTAAGTCTTAAAGATTGTTACATCTCCTGAGAGTCTATTAGCCAAAAGCCACCAACTTGTATGAGAAACATGCATTATGGAGCATGGTAACATGAATGTAAACATACAAAGCCAGTGTGAATCCAAGTCCCATTGTAGATCCAGGTTGAAAGTTACTTGAGGGGGATACAGGTAATTTCTGGTGATGATGCGGTCAAAACAGAGAGGAGCCAGGGGGCAGTGGTCTTAGGGACGGCCCATGTTGACAAGTCTTGTTTTATAGCAGGGTGATTGCCCTGAAATACAATCAAGGTAATGCACTAAAGAGGAGGGGTCTACGATGAGTTCTTTCATTTGTCAGATGGTTCTGGTTGATGATATGATTTATTGCTCCCAAAATGTTGCACTTCGGAAAGCGGCTCCAATAAGGAAAAATCTGCACAACTCTTTACATTAGAAGCTTACGATTCAGCAGCCAATCTGGAAGCACCACACGACAAAAATGCACAAAGAAAGACCTTTCTCAAAACTATAGCAGCTGGGCATATATAAAAACTACATGCCAAATACATTCTTTTCTGAACTGGTCCTGCATTTCACAGCGATGTCTGATCTCAGCATGTGCATGAATCTGGACTTGCTTTGTGCAGTAGCGGATGGAGCTAGTAGGTCTAAAAATGAGAGTCAAGTGCTGAGTCAAGTGAGCGGAATCAATTCGGAATTGAATGTGAACAAATTTCCCTTGACATCTCTGAACAACTGTGGGTACATACATGTAGCAGCAAACTTGTTGCATTATTCTACATGCATGTTCACAGGAATGTCTCATACTTGTGCATGTAATGTTCAGTACATACAGGGACTTGTGCTGGAGTTGAAAGAATGAAAAACAGTAAACGAACACTGAAAAAAATCCTCTTGTAAACATCGACAGGCTATGATAGCACACACTGCTGTTTGACGTATGATTCTTCTACACGGGTTACCCTTGACTTATCTCAGTATGGCACCAGCAGCAGAGAGACCTTGGCTAGAGATGCTTTGGATTTACATACTGCACTCTCATTTCATAAGAATCACTCTGGAATACGGTGAGAGATTACCTGGATAGGTGAGGGATGAATCTCCACGGTAACGTCATTACTTGGCAACTATGGCAACTGACAAATGGCAACCGCGCTAGTAATATGTGTGAACAGATGTCAGGGTGTCCATGGACTTGAATGCTAAATCGTAGCAATTTGTAAAATGTACTTTCCAGAACTGACCAGAGACTGCCTGTCGATGTAATTGGGTTGAACTGGTCAGTTTAGAAGCTGTAAGCTACAGCCTGGTGGAAAGTACATGTACTAGATTAAATTTTATCAGCAAGGTGTGAGATGCATCATGGTGACAGAAAAATGTGCCATTAAGCACTGCCCTTGGCTAGCTAATGAATATATTATGGTCGGCACAAATTGTTGAGAGGCAATAGGAATGGATGTCATCCTTGTCTGCTGTTTTCATTCTAAATTTTCTCAAGGCCACTATTTGCACGTACTCAGTAAAATGATAACTGATTTGAAGATAAATGACAAAAAGACAGCAACCATAATTTAGCAGACTAACCATGCATTTCCCGATATCACAGACATACAGCGTAATTGGCCAACCAAATGAAGCACCTACAGGTAGTGTCTCATCATGACTAAATATTTCTCGAGAGTGCGGTCCACATCAAGCGGCAACCTCGCAGGAATTCTGTGTGTATTAATGCACATTTTTTTTACATTCAAACACGGAGAACTGTTCACCGATGACTTCATCTATAATACAGGGTCATCCTTGTTTCCGGGCATCAGTAAAATGTGACATCAGCACATATTGGATCACCCTGTGTCCATAGGGATCGCCATGATACATCTGCATGTGAGAACGTTTCGCTGAGTGATTATGAACATGTTCAAAAGCAATGAGTAATGCTTCTCAGCAAAGACACTTCTTTCCCTTCTTTGACTGTAAATGAATGTATATGGCAGATGACACTCATCAGCTGCTGGAAATGCAGAAGGGACACATTTGTCATGTTTAGAGATAATGATTAACTGATGTATCCAACCCACACAATCTATGTTTTGCAAGAAGCACAATCAAAACTAAACAATGTAAAATTTGCATTTGGATCATCTCTGCATCTCTGTGCATAAAACCATAATTTCTATTTTTACATGTAACCGTACCTTTTGCATTCCAACGGGATTCAGCATGCTATACTCTAACTTAACAGCAACAAAATAGTGGGCCTGAGGGTTCAATCCTAGCAGAATCTTGTTTGCCTTTGAGTATTAAGGATTCAATGTCAAGCCCTCTAACTAGTTGGATCTTCCAATTTTCAGGTCACTGTAGTCTGCAAGCAGTTTGCCTGTTTTTAAACTGTATTTGACAAAGTTATTCTAAAAAGCAAAATGTCAGACTGTCTTCTACAGTTATTTCCAACTAGCCAAAGACATTGTATATCAGCATCCAATCTTTTTCATATCTTGTCTACAATTCAGTGATGCTAAGTTAACAATCTACCTTTACAACTCACAAATTCACAATTTTTTAGCAACTCTTGCCAGCCTTAATCGAAGAAAATCAATGATCCTTATCCATGATGGCATATGACCAAGACCTACATGTACATGTACAAGACAAAAAACTGCCATATTCTGCTTAAATGAATACACAAATCCAAGATTCTAACAGACAAAGATCATGAAAATTGTTAAAGTCAAAAGAATCGTAAGAATGCAAACTTTTAATACATGCACATATTAGTACATGACGATTGTACAACAGTACTTTTCAGTGAATTTTGAACCCTTCAAAAAAGCCAAACCCGAACACATTCCAACAGATTAAATTGCCATTGAGCAGGACAGTAACACGTCCTGATTTGACAATGGCAAAAATGTCCTAGAGTGTCAATGTACGGCGAGAGTAAAAGACTCTTTTATAATCACAGTATAAACCCGGATGGGACAGTGGCCAAATCCTTGAAATGTTGAAAAGCTATGCAAAAGAATTTTTTGAGCCTTTTCATCTTGGGTTTAATTCTCAGATAATACGTTTGTCAAACAATTACATCTCCTTTAATCTGGAGCAAAAAAAGTGACGTATGAATTCAAACTCCCCCCTCAAAAAAAAAAAAACTGAGCGATATGGTGAACAATGTAACTATCAATAAAAACTTGTAGGTAGCTCTCTTGTTATGCTTTAAACCTTTACGGGTCAAGGTTTAAGGGGGGCTTTCTCACATTATGTGCACATGAGTATCTCTACAGTTTTAATCAAATGAATAAAAGTTTGTTGTAATGGTTACATGTACACTACAGCGGCATTAATTTGTTTGGCACATTGCACTGTGGATGGTCAATGGGAAAAGTTCTGATTTTATTCAGCCTGCCTTTGAAAATTAGAAAAGCATGGGTTGAATAGTCACAAAATTAGAGTCAAACTGACCTCAAATTATCAATAGAAAAACTCATAAAGACTTGGAGCAAAAAAAAAACAAGTTACAATATCACAGAAAAAGTGGATAATGGGAATTCTATTCCCTCCCTCCCAATTAAGATTTAATCCGATGTTCATAAGAATATCACATCTTCACAGAGCCTTTCCATCGACACAAAAAAATTATAAAGATGGATAAATTTACAGCTGCAAGCTTTCATTAGGAGACTTCTCTTAAATTGATCAATTTGGTTTAAAATCTGTTTACAAAGCTGACATTTTCAGACTCTTTTTATAGCAGACTCTTCAGAGAAGTTTCAACACTGGCAAGATATACTCCCACCTTCTGCCATTGTGATAACCAGAATAAGTTCAGACAGC